TTCAGGAGGTCTCGGTAAGCGTGACGGGGGTTTTACAAAATCTGGAACGCCAGGATGAAGCCACATCGTAGACGGCGATATCTTCCGCTGTACACTCCCAGGGCTTTCAGGCGCCTTTAGTATTGCAGGTGGGACAACCCCTGCACATTTTCCGTTGCCCGTCGCTGTGTGGTCTTCAGTGCAACCAGGTCCCGTTTTAACCAGGGTTGCCAAGCCTGGATCGCGTACTCTACATGGAGCCTCACATACGCATTAAACATTTAGGGGAAGATGGAGGGAGCGAACCTGCCGAACGCCCGCCATAACAGACCAACATGTTAGTTCGCAGTTTTGGACGTCTTCTAGGACTGCGCCGAACAGTCGAGGTCGTCTTGGATTACCACCCCAAGGTATCGCTCTTGTGAGGCCGTGTTTAGCCTATCTTCTCCAAGCTCATATGCGCGCATGGGCTTGGGGCGGCCATGCACGGTTTTGCACTTGTCCGTGTCAAACGGAAATAGGTTTAGCTTTGACCATTCAGAAGCGCAATCCAAGTCCCGTTGCAACATATCCTGATCTTCATGACAGTCGATTGCCATCCATATCTTGCTTTCATCTGCAAAAAGCATGACATTTGACTTGATGACAGTCGCATGGTCGTTATTGAAGAACAAGAATAACCGCGGCCCCAACACCGACCCTTGTGCAACACCGCAGTTCACATTAATTGGATCAGAAAATGAACCTCGAACTCGAACCTGAAGGTGCCGCTGAAAGAGGAAGTTTCCGATCCATCCAAGGACAGGGTTTCCAACTCCGTATGCTTGCAGCTTTTGGAGAAGGATGCGGTGAGCTATGCGGCCGAATGCTCTAGAAAATCCTAGGTAGATGACATCAATGCCGGTCCCACTGTCGGCTATCTCGGTCCAACTGCCACGGGCAAGCAGTAGTTTGGTAGTACATGACAGATGCTGACGCAATTCGTGTTGATCCGATGATATGATGTTAGACCTTACAAATTAGCTCATTACAGCCTCAGCTATGATCGATTCCATCACCTTAGAGAGCACCGGGAGAAGTGTCACTAGGCGATGTTTGGCTGGCCATGAACGGCTACCCACTTTTGAAAATCGGGGTAATGATGCTTTGCATCCACATGCTAGGGACCTGCTGTTCGTCCACGCATCTTTGGAAAAATCTCGTTAATGATTCAGCTATTCTCTTAGCTGTTATCTGCAGTACTTTCAGGCGAATGTTGTCAAGTCCGGGGGAGCTATGGGTGCACAAAGAAGACAGCTACCTCAAACTGGTCGCTGAGCTAAACGTGAGGTGTGTAAAGACTGGCATCTGGGATAATGGTGCTGGTATGTTACAAAGGCTTGGAGTACATCAGAAAATTGGGGCATATTGTAGCCGTAGAACGCTAGCTGCATCCTCGGCGGTTTGATCCCATCTATCCTTTGATATTAGTGGGGGTACACCACATTTCACATTCCGGAGGCTATTCACATTTCTGTACAGAAGCTTGTTGTTATCACAAAGCTTTTCCGCTAGACTACGCTGGTATACTAATTTGTCCTCGCGCACAAGTGTGGTACAGTGATTACGATGCACGACATAGGTACTTCAGCTGTCAGGGCTAGGGTTCGCTCTACACACATGCCACGCAGCGTCTCTTGTTGTCGTGTTTTCGGGTTCTACTCCGAATGAACCATTGTGCCCTTGCAGAACGAAGAGGCTTGTTGATTGATGCAGATTTAATCAGAGCGCTGAACTTGCTAGTAAAATCCAACAAAACACTGTCAATGGAACAGTCGTCCGGAAATTCCTAGCTGGTATTTCCACAAGTTCTGCCAGTATGTCGTAGTGGGTGATTGTTCGAAACAAGTTAGTATGTCCTTGTGGGTACTCCGCATAACACAGGAGGTCGTAAATTATGGTTACGTGGTTACTTCTCCCCAGAGGGCTCTTCAGCCTTGGTTTCTTAACCATGAGCTCTTCGTTCGTGAGCACTAAAGCTCTGAATCGCATGGGTGAATTGACATGGCTGAAGAACGGAATGCTTGCAATATACTTAAGTAGCTTGGCCTTAAACTGCTCGGTGGCGGATGCCGGAACTTCTAAATAATGAAGATTTAAGTGGTCTGAGATGAGAAAAAGACTGTATCGTCCTAGTAGGACCCTTCCCAAGGGTAATGCCAGGCGGGAGTCTATCTCTGGGGTGAACAGTTGGGGACGATAAAAACAGCCAAAAGGCAAGTGTCGTTGAGTCACATTCGCAGACTGCACCAAAGCGAGTCTATGATCAGCGTTTTTGATCGGCCACCGGTTCACAATGCAAGTCGTTGCGGTAGTGTAACATTACCTCTCCTGTAAAAGGTCAGCAACTAATCATTTTTTGGGTGTGGGGGATGACGAACACATCTGTGTCCGATTCATGGATCCAACCATTGCCTCTTTGCTATTCTGTTTGTATGTAATGTATGGGGTGTGTTTGCCAATTTCGTTGGTTAGTTGATTGAAGTTATCCAAATTTTTGTCGGTAACTGGTCTGAATAGGTGAGCGCTCTCGTGTGTTTGCTTGGCAGATGCTGCTTCGATCCGGAGCTCGGAAGGAAGGCTGCTGCTGCCTGTATACCATCCCTCCACTACCATTGCCGAGATTTGTCTAAATTGAAGGACTACTTTCACAATCCACGGGCCACATCCCTTGTAGTTTGGCGATTGGTGTAGCTTCTCGATTGATTGCGCTATAACGTTGTCCAGGGAGAGGGTCTCGCGAATGTACTGCCATTGCTCCTCGTCATGAGTTGTCACTTCGAGCTCATCGTAACTTCCAACCTGGGGAACACCGTGTACAATGATGGTCCTGGCTACGAATTCCTTCCGGTTTTCATCCACGTAGCGCTTCGCTTGTCTGCGCTCACTACACGGAATATCTGGAAATAGACGAGTGGAACATGACCCAGTCCGGAGGCTAGCTGTTGATAACAGGACAGCTTCTGCTTCATTGACAGAAGTCAGCACAACTCGGAGAAGTTTTGCTTCACCGTAATGCTGTGAGTTTGGGTGACGGGTAACGGGTGTCAAATTTACGGACTTAGTTACAACACCTATAGTGTCAAAAATGGAGTTCCATTGGTTCAAGTCATCGAGTTGTTTTCCTTTTAAGTAATTTGTCGTCGAGTCTGGAACGTTAGTGCAGCTTACCGCTGGTATACTACGTGCAACTATGATTTTGGTCAAGCGACCGACTGGTCTGTATACAGTTGGTAGAGGCTGTTTGAGTACAGCTTTGTCCTCTTCATTTACTACAAGTTCAATGAGAGTGGCAACCAAGTTCCAACCACCACTGGTGTCAAAGCCGTTCTGGATTTTAGGAACCGTTTGGTGGGTGGACAAAACTCTGACCGTGCACATTGCAATAGGACTGTCAGGGGTTGTTTTAGGCATATTTGAGCAAGTGGTAGTATTGGCGTTTTATGCCACAGATGACGCATTTTTAGCGCATTGTCTGGCCTTCTTCTTCAGTTTTAATGCGGTGCTGGATGGGAATGACCTGGATTTACTCTCTATCACGTTTTCTACCAATGAATCGCTTTTGGCGCTCCTCATTTGTTCAAACATTGCAACTAGTCTATCGTACTTCTGCGATGGTTCATGTACAATCTTTACCGGTGTGATGACTATACATACTGAACAAAACCACAGCGAATCTTGTTTACTATTGTGCAGCTTCAACTGGTTCACTGTGAGCTTGGAACATTTGCGATGGAACTTGCTTTGGCAACTGCTACAATGAATACCGATCCGTGCATGTTTATGGCATGAAGAGATTCCACAAACTACTGTCGCTCTGGCTGCGCTGACATGGGCTTTTGATTGGTCACCACGGTCCATTGCGTCAATCGATGGTAACCCCAGGGAGGCCCTAGCACTTATGGTTTCCTGCCGGTCGCGTGTGCGCTGTATTGTCTCGATGTTCAAGGTCGTCACCTTCTGTGTGTCTGGCCCAGGCGGGACAGGTTTAAGCGGTTATATAGTTCACGCAGAAAACAGAGCAGCTGAGCGATAAGGACACAACGTATACGATAGGTACTCATGAGTAGGGGATTTTGATGTAATTATGTGAGGTCCATCGCAGCCAGTTTCCAAATCAGATAGTCTTTCACATGCCCGGAAAAGCACTAGACTGCAGTTTCAGCCTGTTGGGCATCGTCAGTAGTGCGCATCCATCGGATCCTTCAGGATTCGAACCCATGACCACCAGCAGATAAGACGCGCTATATCGCAGTTAGCTTATAAATCATGACGGTCCAAAGCTGTCCCCCGTGGCCAGTGGCATAAGCTGCTGACTGGCGGTTCAAGCCGCTGGTGGTCATGGGTTCGAATCCTGACGGATCCGATGTATGCGATAGGTACTTTGATGATCGGTGCGCAGTTACGGTTGCTGATTCATCAGATGAGACATGCAGTTGGCTTTCCTTTGAGACCACAAACATTTATGTGTGGTTCGTGATTCGGAAAATTCCTCGATCGTGTTTTAGCGGGAATAGCTCAAAAACCGCAATGTAGAGACAGATGACGATATACACAAGCTAGATCCGAAAGATAGAGTGCACTAGATCGCGCAGATGAATCTGGGTCGAATGAGTGTGAACACACGTTTGTGTGACAAAATGCAACGGAGAATGTCGGCAAAACAACGTGTTCACAGAGGAACGATTGGTTCGTTCAAGATCGTTCAAAGTCGTGGTGTGAAAGTCACAAATGTCTTTCACATCCGGTTGTTTGAATGACATCTACTGACCCTTGACTATTTAATTCTTCAGTCTGTTTTTTCGTAATTTTAACTGGTCCCATTCATTCAGTGTATCCACAGGGATGGTGTAAATGCTGATAATGCACCTAGCTAGGTGTATATAGTTTATTTTGACATGACTTATAGTCTTGCTGTTTATGCCTCCTTGCTTTACCATTCATTTAACCACTACTTTCTTTCTACCCTGGTTCTCTTGTAGCATCACATTATGAGAAACGACGATTGCCAGTATATTCACATTACGCGCCCCGTTCTGACTAGTGCAAAATTGAGGACCTTGGTTGATGGAGAATGGAAGGAGCCAAAGCGTAACCCGTTGATGGTGCTCCGTACTATACTGCGTAAGACGAAAGCATATTTTCTGCCAACACCACTGAAATCTGGCATGAAGTGCAAGGATTCAACTCAAGTGGAACAAAGTAAACGCAACTGTTTCCTATGGGGTGCATGGCTACTCACATTTTTTCCTTGCGTGCAAACGCTTCGAACATACAACTTTCGATCCTGGCTCATCAATGATCTGATTGCCGGTTTTACAGTGGGGATTATGCATGTTCCACAGGGTAGGTTGCCTGCGTGAAATATTCCTCCTTCAACCATTAGTGTAACATATGATTTCGCCATGTTTTGTAAGGCATGTTAAATGAATCTCCACACAACCGCAACCTACTTGTAGATACTATCTTATTTGTTTGTCCCCTGACGTATGAGATAGTCAAAACACAACGATGTCAAAGCGCTTAACCCGCTTTTGCGGGCGTTTGTGTGATAAAAATTTAACTCATAAAAATACTTCACTAGTTAAAACGTTTGTTCACCTGTAAACCGAGTAGCAGGTTCCCAAGGTAGCTAGGGGAGCTTCGTTAGGATGAAATTTTCTGTGATACATATGAAAACCCGAAACAAGTCAGTAACTACAAGGTACAGGATGAAACCATTTGCTACCGGCATATGAATCAAGATTTTAACTGCGTTAACTGTAAGTAGCTAGATAAAAGCAACCATGGCGGCAAATGCCTGGAAAGGAGGTAGGAAATTATTAATAAGATATGAAAATTCATTGCCTATAGGTGTCCGTCCCGCTAGATATGAACCTACATGGAATTGGTCGGTGAGGAATGGACTGCCATTCGACGTGGACAGCTGATGTGCTGCCCACATCCGCCATCCACACGTCTACATGCACAAACTTGAGGCGCACGATATAAAAACCACAAATCAAGTACGTTACTTCGGTGCGCTGGTACAGGACAACGTCGGTTGTTTCAGGCAATCAGAATCCGCTACAAAAAGTGGTAACCAGCAAATTGGTCTTTTGCGGAAGGCATTTTGGAGTTTGGAATCATCCATATTCTCTCTAATTCTCAGTGCCAAGTATGAACAATGCTTTATCACGAGATGAAAGCAAGTGCTTGGCACGTTCCGTAAGATGGTTGGGGTGAGTAGAATGAAGTCGAAATGTATGAGAAGCATCTACCGAGCGTCTAGCTAGATAAATGCGCTGACAAATAACGTTAGTACAAAATAAAAAGGAATTGTAAGCATACAGAAATACACCGGTGCAGAGATCCTTGCTGTAAAGCGTGAGAATATAAAATATAGTCGCTCACTTATGCGCCATCTCCTTGAGTCGATGTGACACATAAGGCTGGTAGCATGGAATACTTAATATAATCCACAACAGCGTAGTTTAGGTGATAAAGTGCTGGGAGCTAAGAGTAACATTCAATCATTTTTTGAAATTGTTTAGAGTAGTGGAAAATACCACTGAGTCTGGGAGAGTGTCCTAGGGTTGACAAATCCGAATGGAAAGGCATTTCTACCGACACTCTAGACGGCTATATTGTTCCCAAAAGTTCGAGCAGCTACGCCGGAACTGCGTGTGTGGTTAAGTTTTAGCAGATAGCGGCATCCATGGTTGGGGTCACACAAGATTTGATAGTCTAATATGAGGTCGCGTCGCAGCCTTCGGTAGCGTCCGCCGAAAACTCCCAGCAACATCAGCACTCGTTGTTAAGAGTGATAGCGCAGGCCCTTAATATTTTTTGTTGCTCTTCTTTATGGTGCCTCTAATGCCTCTATATCACGCTTCAACAAATGGTGCTAAGCTTGGGTAGCGTGTTCAACCTTAGGGCCCACGTAGGAATTATGCATCACCGGGAAGATTGATGGGTCAAATCAACCGAACACCCTTCGCAGCAGGCTGACGCGCTGGTTTCCTCTTTTCGCAACTACCTCCGCCTGTTTTGAACAGTTGAGGTTATTCTGTACCAGCACACCAAGTTGATGTTCTTGGGATCCGGTCTGCAGTCCGTGTGCCCTAAGAAAATACCTGTTGTCCTGTCAATGGTGTAATTTCACTACGCGACACTTATCTACATTGTCTACTAGGGCATTCTGAAATGGCCAGTTCGAAATCGCCTTAAGATCACACCGACGCCCTTCGTGGTCGCCCGAGCTTTTGATCGCTTGCAAAAATTAAACATCATCTGCGATGAATATGAAATCTGAAGCAATTGTTCCCGCTACTTTGCTTATGAAAACTAAGAATAAACGAACGCACTAGCACCGAGCCTTGTGGTACACCGCACTCCACATCAATTGCATCTGATGGAGATTCCCAGACTCTCACCTCCAACCGACGTTCGGGTAGAAAGTTGCTTATTCAGCTCAGAATTGTGCCACCAATGCCGTAGTTCTGAAGGTTGTGAAGATGAATTCGGTGATCCAAACGATCAACCGATTTCGAGAAGTCCAGGTAGGCGACATCAACCTCTGCTCCAACATCAACGGCTTCAGTCCAGCTATTACCTGCAGTTAGTAGGTTAGTAGTATATGAACGCTGTTGACTGAAGTCATGTTGCTCTGAGGCTATTAAGTTGTGGCTTTCCAGATACTGCATCAACGCATCTGCGATGGTTGCTTCCATAACTTTGGATAGTACAGGTGGAAGCGCTATTGGACGGTAGTTGGTGCGGCTATCTCCTTTACGGATGGGAGTGATGACCCCTCGCTTCCATATTGGTGGAATTTGCTTCGGCTGTAGACATCGCTGGTAGAATACGGCCAGTAGTTCTGCTAGGTTACTGGTTACAGTCTGTAGAATCTACGATTGGATGTTGTCGACTCCAGGAGAACTGTGGATATGCATGGATAACAACTTCTTCAACACGGCTTCCGCGGGTGTAGTTGCTACTGGAAAAGCCCGACGGTGGAGTAATAGAAAAAGACATTTGGGCTCGCTACCTACTGGAAACATTGGGAGTAATGACGCCGTGAGAGATCGACGGCTTTCACTGCTGACTGCGTGCATTCATCAGTCATTAATAGAGATGGGATGCCGCGCTTTAGTTTACGAAGGCCGGTAACGTGCCTGTATAGGAGTTTACGGTTCGCACAGACGCCGTTGATTAACTCTTGCTGCTACCTCGCCTTGTCCTCGCGGATAGATTTCCCACAAAATTTAAGATGGGCCACGTATGCAGTTCGGGTATCGACTTTCGGGCAGTTCTTGTGAGCTCGCCCTGCTAAATCCCTAAGGGATATGCACTTCCGTGTTCTGCTCCTCAGAAATGACTTATATTTGATTTTACGTTGGAAGGACATCTGTTCCGATGCTTACGCTACCAGTATGCTAAACGTCTTTGTGAATGCTTTCCAAGCGACGTCTCGGGGGGCATTCGGTTAAGAAGGTTCAAGATATATACTTCACATGCCTGGGTAATAAGTGCTAGTGCGTGACAATATGCACTTTCTCATCCTTCTATTCAGGATATTCCGCATAGCATACCTAGTCAAACAATGGGGTATCATTGTCACTGCGACCCAGTGGTGTGCTTGTAACTATCCTATAGACCATGCGTTCATCGTTACTGAGCGCAAGATCGAGTATCAACGGTTTGTTGGCAGTTTGAAATCCGGTGGGAGAGGTTCATAGTTGTACAGAGCGGATCTGGAAGCTAGCTCTTGAAAAGCAGGCTTTAAACTCTGCACTATCGGTTGCTTGCATTTCCATATCGTACACATTGAAGTCTCCAACGAAAAGAGGATGACTGTAGCAGTTGTTCAAAGCAAGCCCGAGATGTGGTTTAGTTTGAATTCCATTTCCGACGTACAGTTTGGTGGGCGGTAAATTACGGCTGGTAGACATGTGTCCTTGTTGCGCAACAATAGGCGGCACCAAAGCGAAGCAGAGGCGTGGATTTCCGAGCGATAAATAACTTCATATCGGAAGTTTATTTTATAAGTTATAATAAATAATCACACCACTACCCCTTCCAGTTCTATCATTCCGAAGTAGCAACATACATGCGTCCATATGTCGAATATGCAATCCAGGCTTAAGAAGCTTGGCTAAAGTTCGACATTGGGACGCTCGAAACTCCTTAGGATCGCGCAACGAAATCGCTCTAGCGTTTGCACCACTTTCCTTACCAAGAATGACTAAATTCATTCGGGGTGTTCGGTGGACGTGTTCGGTGGTAGCATCGTATTAGTTCATTAAATTCTGAGCGACCCCGTCACGTATGCCGCCACGTGTAGAAACAGTCCTGACACCAACCTTAGAGGCAATAGCCTGCAACTGAGTAAAAAATACAGTTGTATAATTTCTCAACGAACTTATTTCTCCCCCCGGATCTGCCAAACCTGGAACACCTCTCCAAACTTAGTTGTATGTGCCCCCAACTTTTCCATTAAAAAAGACATAGGATATCCCATTGAGTTCCCTACACTTTGCTACGTAAACCGATGTTCTAAGTATACACAGGCTAACCCGCTTCTTTGGTATTATGATCTACAGTGACACACGTAAATCCATGCAAACGGGTGAGGAATCCGATTGCCATTGTTATAAGCATTAACCATAAGAGCTTGTTAATCCGTGTTGAACGGCAACATCTCACTCTCAACACCGTATACTTTATGCCATTACTCCATCGCTTCAGCAAAGCGATTTTTATTTGATCTACTTGTGTAGTATTCGAATTACATTCCCTTCCATTACCAACCTACGGGACGTGTTAAGCTTGTACTTTTAACTATTGTTCCAGTGTACTCCATCTGTTAGATAACTTGACAATCATTTTAGCCCACTTCATTTCTCAATCACACAGTGAAGACAGACTGCGCACAACAAGCATACTGGACGCTGCTTACCAAAAGTCGTTTTGTAAAACAATGGAATAATTGTATAATATAACTAGATGCAAGCTTGACAAGCCCCTTAGGATTATCTGTGTGAACTGCAGGGTCCAACAAAAATTTGTCAACAAGCTAAACCGTGCATCTATGGGCTCATTTTAATATTTAGTTGAACGTACATGTAAATCCGGCCGTCCAGATTTTGTGGAGGATTGTGGGTAAAATATTTGGCTCTTGTCTGTACCAGATGAGTAGTGTCACGTCACGTGATGCAAGTGGTGAAATGCATCATCGACTAGTTTTTTTGGAAGTGAATAATATATATATATATATATATATATATATATATATATATATATATATATATATATATATATATAGCCCATCAAGCCTATATTTTCACTTCACATTGGTTCTTTTC